ATCTTGCCGTTAACAGTCCAGTACTTATCCTACAGCACCACACCCGGACCACCAGGATACAGCATACAATAGTTGTTAAGTGTCCCAAGTCGGTTCTAACTCACAGCAACCCTGTATAAGGTTTCTGGGGAGTGGTTGGTGTATTGGAACTGTCAACCTTGAGTTAGCAGTCTAGTACTTAAACTACAGCACCACACCAGGACTCAATACGATAATGCTGTTGTTACGTGCCATCGAGTTGATTCCAGCCCATAGTGACATTATATAGTTTCCAAGAGCAGCTGACAACTGATTGGAAGAGATCCATATTTGTGCCCATTCCAAAGAGAAATGAGCGAACGGAATGCAGATCATTGGACAATATCATTATGGATGGTCCAAAGACCGTACATACATTAAGCATTTGTGATCAAGGGAAAACACTTTACCATCAAAAACCAGCAACACGGAGTCCTGGTATGGCACCATAGACTCAGCACTCAACCTCAAGGTCAGTTTGAACCACATTGTTGGTGATTCAAACTCACCAGCCACTCCTTGGACACCCTATACTTAGCAGCACTTAACAACAATCAGCAACATGGAGTCCTGGTGTGGCGCTGTAGGTTAAGCACTCAACCATAAGGTTAGTCTGAACCACAAGGTCAGAGATTCAGTCTCACCAGCTGCTGCTCAGAAACCCTATACAGAGTCTCTATGAGTTGGAAATGACTTGAAAGCATTTAACAATAGCCACAATAGGTTTCCATAGTGAGTTTTAGCCCTGGAACCACAATGGGTTAATCAGTGGGCTGCTAACCACAAGGTCAGTGGTTCAACCCCAGTAGCTGCTCTGTGAGAGAAAGATGGGACAGTCTGTTCTTGTAAAGATTTACCATCCTGGAAACCCTAAGCTGTTCTTTTCTGTCCTGTAAGGTAGCTATAACCCAGACTCGACTCAAAGGTGGTGAGTTTGGTTTTGGTTTTATGGGGTTTCTAGAAGAAAAAGGACTTTCAGTATGAATTAAAGAGCCTTCAGTATGAATTATGCCTCACCATAAAGGAAACAAAAATCCTCACACCTGTACTAATACCCAACATCATGACTAATGGCAAAGACATTCAAGTTGTCCCAGATTTCATTGTACTTGGGCTCACAATCACCGCCCATGGAAGCAACAGTCATTGGGCAAATCCCTTAGAGAGCATGTCTATAAAGTGTTTAAAAGCAAGGTGTCACTTTGAGGACTAAGGTGTGCCTTAGTATTTTCAGTTATGTCATATGCATGCGAAAGCTGGACAGGGAATAAGAAAGACCAGAGAAGAGTTTATGCATTTAAATTAGAGTGTTGGCCACAAAATATTGAAATTACTCTAGACTGCCAGAAGGACTAGGACCACTGGTGATGCTGTAGGATAAGTACTAGACTACTAGCCGCAGGTCAGCAGTTCAAACTCACCATCAGCTCTGCAGAAGAAGATGGGGCTGTCTGCGGCCATGAAAACTTGGTCTTGGAAAGTCTCGGGAGCTTTTCTATTCCGTCTTATACGGTCTCTGTGAGCTAGGGTCTACTTAATGGCAATGGGGTTGGTTTGGGTTTGCTCAGAACTAACAAGTCTGTATTGGAAGAAGTATAGCCAGAATGCTCCTTAAAAGCAAGTAAGTAGGACAAAACTTCATCTCGTGTATTTAAACATGTAATCAGAAGGGATTAGTCCCTGGGAAAGGATATCAGATTAGGTAAAGTCTAGAATCAGTGAAAAAGAGGAGGAGCCTCAGTGAGACGGATTGATATTATAGCCGCAGTGGGATCAAACACAGGAAAACCGTGAGGCTAAAGCAGGATCCGGCAGTGTTTTGTACTGTTGTGCATAAGGTCACTGTGATTCATAACTTACTTGATAGCGCCTAAAACAGTCCTGGTGTGACTCTGTAAGATAAGCACTGGACTGCTAACAGCAAGGTTGGTGGTTCAAACCCACCAGCTACTCCTTGACACCCCTATACAGAATTGCTATGAGTCGGAATCGACTGATAGCACACAACAACAACAACAACAACAACAAGGTCCAAAGACCCCTTGTGGAGCGATGCTTCAATGTTATTGTTGGTAGGGGTCATCTAGTTGGTTGCAACTCACAACAACCCTGTGTAGAGTTTCTGAGGTTGTAAATCTTTGCAGGAGCAGAAAGCCTCATCTTTCTCCTGTCTGGGTAAGTCCTGGACGGCTAACCAAAAAGTTGTTATTGTTTAGTGCAATTGAGTTGATTCTGCCTCATAGTGACGTATGTGTAGGGTTTCCAAGGAGCACCTGGTAAGTTTGAACCACTGAACTTGTGGTTCAACCGACTTTACAGTCCAGTGTTTTATCCTACAGCACCACACCAGGACTCCAACCAAAAAGGTTGTTGTTGTGGTTATTGTTGTTGTTGTTGTTGTTAAGTGCCATTGAGTCACTTCCCACCCATAGCGACCCTGTATAGGGTTTCCAAGGAGAAGCTGGTGAGCTTGAACCACCGACCTTGCAGTTCAGATGACTTTGCAGTCTGATGTATTAGCCCACAGCGCCACACCAGGACTCCAAACATTAGGTGGGTTGAATCCACCCAGCTTCTCTGAATGAGAAAAGACCTGGCAATCTTCTCCTGTGAACGTTTCACCCTGTAGGGTAATTCTACTCTGTCCTAAAGGAGCTCTGGTAGCGTAGAGGTTATGAATAGTGCTGTGAACCTCAAGGTCAGCAGTTCGAAACTACCAGCCGTTCCACGGGAGAAAGATGAGACTTTCTGCTCCCGTAAAGATTTACAGCCTCGGAACCCCTGTATGGGGTCGCTATGAGTCAGAACCGACTCCACAGCACATAACCACAACAAGAACAACTCTGTCCTATAGAGTTCCATGGGCCACAACAACATGGAATTTCCAGGGGGCCCTCAAAATGATCACATTTGGCTGCTAAATAAAAATGTGGAGGTTTGAATCTATTTAGAGGCACCTTGGAAGAAAGACTTCTGAAAAAGCAGCCATTGAAACCTTGTGAATCACAGTTCTCCTCTTTCTCCATAGAGTCAGAGTCAACGCTACAGGAGCTGACATTAGGTGTCTCCATAATTTTCCTAGGTACTCATTACATTTCCTTAAAATTCACTTTTTAACAGAGTTTTAGGTAAGCCTATTTCTTATGATTCTGTCTTTAAGAAAGACTATATTTAAAAACAAGCAAATAAAAAACTACCGAGCAAAATAGAGACGGTTTCTATGATTCTCTTCTGTAGGGACACCTCTGTAAACCAATAGAAATAAAATCAACTTGGGGCTATAGATCCAGCTCCTTTGACGTTTGGACTTCTACTGATGGAGGAGGGGAGTTTCTGGCCATACCTCATTAACACCCTTGCATAATTAACCATCCATCTTCTGTTCTCTCTGGAGAAATGCTTGCAGCAACCACCTTAGGCACACAGTGAATATGTTGGAAATGGGCTGTGGTTTTAAAGGGCTGCGATCTGAACTTGAAGAGGAGGATTGGTTTCTTACAGAACATCATTTGACAAAGTAAAGAAATGAAAACTATTTTCAAAAGGCTATTTAGTTTTCCTTTTATTGTAGTAAAAAGAATGAAGAGAATGAAGCATGTCAGAATGTGTGATTTATGGATCACTGTGGTATGTTCTAGAAATTCAGAAATAACTCCTAATGAGGAACATGCACAATTCAAATGGATAAATTGTATACTTGGTAATTCAGTTTAAACCACAAGGTGGGTGGCTCAAACTCACCAGCCGCTCCTCAGAAACCCTACACAGGGTCACTATGAGTCGGAGATGACTCAACAGCACTTAACAACAACAATAATTTGGGAATTAAAAGAGGTTAGGGTTCCATGCTTGTTAGCAAAGGCTCACACCTCAGCCTCATCAGGCTGAATGAGAATGATATTTTATCTCCTAATAAATCGTGAATCGAACATCACTCTTCAAAGAAAGAACAGAAAAACAACTTCAGATTGAAGCTAACCCCACACAATCATCATTCTAATTATTTACATTCAGAGTTTCTTGTGTGTTTTTTTTAAGAGATGAAGGTTATTCTCTAAGTACTCCAGCTTAGCTACCAATCTATTAACAGAAAGCCCCTGGCGTTTTCTCCTGAAGATCCCAGTGTTCTTCCAGTACTGTTTTTATGCTTATCTGCAATGAAAAGGTGATTCCTTAGAGTGCCTTGGATTTGGATGAGTCAGATTTACTGTCTGGTTTCTTAACCTTATTCCCAAGTACAGTGTAATAGGAAAAGGAGAGGCTCTTTCAGGTCCCAGCGGATTCCTGTGGCAGGGTGGTGAAAATTTTGTTTTCCTTTCTACTTTCCATTTCATAAGAGAAATAGTCTCAAGGAGAGGATTTATAATGCAATTTTGTTAGATACACGCCATTAAACATGTAGGGCTGGAGTTCTGTAGCCCTTTGGAGGGATTCTGCTTTTGCCACAGAAGCCCAGGGGAAGATCTGGGTCCATGCTGTTTCAGAAATCAAACATCCAGAAAGAGAACACTTTCCCCATTTCAAAGCCAGGAGGAGACTTCAGGGCTCTCATTTTCTCACACTTGCATGTTGGAGAAAGAGCCTCAAATGTATGCATTTACGATAGTCTTAGCAGCACATGAAAATGATTTCCGCAGATAGTAAAAATTAAATAAATGATGATGGAGAGAGATATATTTGGGGGCAATATACCCCATGGTTGAGCGTGACCACCAGGTTCATTTTCTGTCTCTGGACCTCCTAAAGAGGATAGGTTGTTTTTAAATGCTAGACTAGAGAGTATGTAGTGTTTCTTTGAAGGGCTGTTCTAACCATGGTGATATTCAAGAAGATGCAAGTTGGCGTGGGTGCAATGCCCCAGAGATCACAAACAATTGTAGCTCACACGAAGAAACAAGAGAGAATGGCTCAAACAAATGACCAAGATGTAAAGCCAAAACACAATTCTGAGAAAGAGAAGGTAATGGAATTCACTTAAAAAGAATTCAGAAGAATGCTATTTAGGTATCTTCAAAGAATTGGCAGCAAGATTGAGGTAAGCAAGGTGAACACAGAAAAACTTTAGAAGAAATCAGGAAAACACTACAAGAACAAACAAAACAAATGCAAATTTTGATACAATACAAAACCTGCAATTAGAAATCCAGAAATTTAATACTAAGATGTCAGAAATGGGCAATACACTGAAAGGACAAAGGGGTAGATTTGAAGCAATGAAAGTCCAGATTAGTGAGCTTGAAGATATAAATCTCTTAATGCTAGAATGCTAGAGGAACAATCAGAATAAAATAATGGAAAAAAGAAACCCTAAGACTTATGTGGGACACTATGAAGAGGAACAATTTATGGGTGATCAGAATTCCAGAACAGGAAGAGATAATAAAAAGCATACGAAATACAATAGGATGAGTGTAAAGCTGATCTTCTCCCATGTAAACGTCACAATACAAACATTTTTAAAAAAGCATAGAGAAAATTGTTCAATAGTTGTTGGACAAAAACTTCCCTAACATGAAAGTTGAGAAGATAAGCATTCAAGAAGCTGAGTGAACCCCAAACAGGGTAAACCCCAAAAAGAAGATCCCCAAGACATATCACACTTTCAAAACCCAAACTTTCCAAAACCAAAGACAAAGAAAGAATCCTGAAAAAAGCTCATGAAAAAATGAAAAGGAGAACCAATAAGATTAAGCTCTGATTTCTCAGCAGAAACCATACAGGAAGAAGACAATGAGATGACATATGCAAAAACTCTACAAGAAAAAAATTACCAACCAAGAATTATGTACCCAGCAAAGCTGTCCCTCAAATATGGCAGCAAAACTGGAATATTTCCTGATAAGCAGGAATGAAAGGAATTTGTATTGACCAGACCAATTTAACAAAAAATCCGAAAGGGGGTTCTTAGGACTGAGAACCAACAACAGCAAACAACGACCTGAGATTAACATCCATGACAACAAGCACACCACCCAGAACTCTAATCAGATAGGTTGTTGTTGTTGTTGTTATGTGCCGTCGAGTCAGTTCCGACCCATAGCGACCCTGAACAGGGTTTCTGTGGCTGTAAATCTTTACAGGAGCAGAAAGCCTCATCTTTCTCCTGTAGAACAGCTGGTAGTTTCGAACTGCTGATCTTCCGGTTCACAGCCCGATTCGTAACCACTACGCTACCAGATCTATAGAAGTATTTAAAGTAAAACAAACCTACAACACTGGAAATAGGGAACCAGAGCTATCAATGTATAATGAAGCTAACAAAGTAAAAATAAGGAATAGAATAGATACAGAAGTTCCAAATGGCAAGGAAGTCAAGCAGATTAAACAGACTTTTAAATAGGGAAAAAAAATTATAAATTACAGGGTAACCTCAAAGAAAATTAATACACCTGCACATCAAAATAAAAAAAGAGGAACATCAGAAAGATTTTGTAAACATGAACACAACCCAAACTGAAAATGAAAAGAGAACCCACAAGCAAAATGAACCCAGCACAGAAAATTAATGTAGAACAAAGAAACCAGCAGCGCCACACAAAACAAACAAACAAACAAACAAACAAAACCATTGTAAAACGACAGCAGTCAGTTCACACCTATCTATAATTACACTGAATGTAGATGGATTAAAAGTACCAGTCAAGCAACAAAGAGTAGGAAAATGGATGAGAAAACAGGACCCTTCAATATGCTGACTGCAAGAGACACATCAAAAAGATGGAGACAGCCTAAATTCCCATCAACAGAAGAGTGAACAAACTTTGGGACACAGTGGAATTCTTAAATGCAGCATTTAAGAATAAAGATTAATCTGGGAAACACCTCACAACATGGATGAACCTAAAGGTCAGTATGCTGAGTGAAATTAGTCAATCACAAAAGGGCAAATATATAAGACAAATGGAAAAAGTTAAGAAAAGGTTTTTTTTTAATAAAAGAAATTATGATGGTTGTGGGGTGGGTAGTGGGGAGGGAAAATTATTCACGGGCTGTAGGGTAGATACATGTTAATATGTTTGTCAGAGCAGGCAATATACAAGAGGAAGGTTAGCAGAGGAAAGATGAAGGTAGCAAGAGACGCAGAGAGGAATGCAATAATTAAAGTGAATAGAGGTAAATGCTGCTTACTGTTTGAACATGCAGGGGATTGAAATTAGTGTACTGAAGCAAAGTTTAACTAATTTCACATGATTTGTTGAATGCAAAACTGCTGATCTGCTCTCTAAACCTTCACTCAATTCAGAATAAAAAGTTAAAAATAAAAGAGTCAGTTGGCCCAGGCGGATAATTTGGGGAGTGTACCCAGATATCCTTTGGGAGAAGTAGAGCCAGAATGCTCCTTTGAAGCAAGGATGTCAAGACTTTGTCTTTAAGCACTTTGGACATGTTATCAGAAGGGTCCAGTCCCTGGAGAAGGACATCATTCTTGGTAAAATGGACGCTCAACAAAACAGAGGAAGAACCTTAATGAGATGGATTGACACCGTGTCAGCAACACTGGACTCAAACATAACAACAATTGTGAGGAGGGCACAGGTCCAGGAAGTGTTTCCTTCTGTTGTGCACAGCGACGCTATGAGTTGGCACTGACTGGACAGAAACTAACAACAGCAACACACAAATTTACAGAGAGCCCTCTCCCCGCCCCCAAATATTTTTCCATCGTTTTTATTATGAATTACGTCAGTTACATGGGAGAACATCATCTTTACATTCATCCTTTCGTATTTCATTTCACTGCAATGATTACAATACCCTCCATGCACTATCAAACAACCAAAGGGTACGCCCCACAGGCCTGCCCCCACTGGCTGTTAGCATACAACCCCTCTCCCTCCCTGAGTCCAGAGTCCCCAGCCGCTCCATCTCTGCACTTTATCATCTCTGCCTCCATTTCTGGTGTCACTGTTTCTCTGGGTACGGTCCCGTACTCTGCTCTTCTCCCTTGATGGTCCCAGGGACCTCTGCTCCAGGACAGTAAAATCAATCACTCCCCTCCTTTTGTTACAAAACATCTACCTTTACATTTCCAAACCTCACAGTCAGTCCTGATAGCAATTATTCACTATTGTACCACAAGAGTCTTATCCCCATCTCCTTTCATCAGCCCTGTCCCAACAGATTAGAAACCACTCAGTGGAGATTGTACCTTCCCCCACCCCTCTGGAACTAGGCTCCCTCTTGAAAACTTGTAAGCCAGTAAATTCTTGCCTTTGTAGCCACCGCATTTTGGGTAGCCAGTGTCTAAATTGCCCACCCCTGTCAACCCTGAGTACCGAGGAGGTGGGAATGATCCTCTCTGTAAAGATTTGTTCCCTTTTTTGAGCTACTACATCCATAAGGATAGGTAAAGTTCATCAAATTATAATGGGCCTCTTCTTTCTTCTTCTAGTTGAGTTCTGATCATCCAGCCATTAAAGCCAGGTCAAGTGGGTATTATCTGCAAGTATGGGAGTTCCTGTGCATCTCCCCTCACTTCAGATCAGCTGGATGCTTCACTCTCCACTCTAGTCCTCTGTGGCCATGTCACTGCCTCTGGGCTCTGGAGTCCCCAGGTCTTGCCATACTGCTGGCCAACCAGGTTTCAATCTGGATTCACAGGAGTCTATTGAACATGGTCACACTTAGCTCACAACTTCATTGCTGTTTTTCCCCCACTTTCCCTTATTGGTGACCAGCATGGTCACCAGCCAGACCACATGCCTGCTTGTGTATTCCCCTTGAGTCTTAGTTTTGGAAGGGAGTTTGCTCTGAGGGGACCCGACCATTTGCCTTGGCTCCTGGGTGAACAGCTTACTTGTTCTTGTAGTAGTCACTCAGACAACCGTTACTGTTTCTGATTTTTCATGCTGGTCTTTCTTTCACGAAATATCTTCTGTTCTTCTAGCCGTTCCTGGCTGGTCTACTTGTCCTTTCAAGTGGAAATTTCCCACCTCAGAAGATTCTGGATGGGGTTCAGGATTCCCATCAATGATCTTATGCAATACAAAGGCTCCTCTTTCACTGAGCACCTTCTAGCCCCTTTTAAGGTATTCCAATCAGTTATACACTGAACATTGGCTTCCTGGGCAGCCCAGGGATGTTTATCTTAGAATAGCTGCATCTCCCTTGTGAAGGGGGCTGGGTCTGGGAGCCAGTTGGGCCCTGGGTCACCGGCTGCCACGTGGCAGACACAGATCTGGCTGTGCTCCAGTCCATGCTGGTCACGCTTTGTTGTTGTTGTTATGTGCCGTGGAGTCGGTTCTGACTCTGTACAAGATTTCAGAGGCTATAAATCTTTATGGGACCAGAAAGCCTCATCTTTCTCCTGCCAAACAGCTGGTAGTTTGAAACTGCTGACTCTGAGGTT